TAAACGTATGCTATCTTTACAAAAATGAAATAAATGTACGCATTTATCGTATTGGGGATTTTGAGCTAGCGGTGCAGATAGCTGTGTCAGCGCGCCACCTAGTGTTTAAAGACACGCATTGCTCAGACTTGGGTTCCTCCACGCAAGAGAAACAAACATCAATTATGTCAAGAATAATTCAGAATAAGGAAAGAATCGAAATTACTTAAGTAGCTATATTTGTAGACTTAACTTTATAATTTATCTTTCTATTTAGGGAAAATAGTTAATTAAGGGCTTAGGGGGCATGTGGAAAATATTGACCACCTGAGATAGACCAGGCTGGTGAAGGTAATTGCCTCAACGCAGTGGGTCATGATAGGTTAATGAAGCGTTGAGTTTGGAGTGTTTAGACCAATGGGAAAGGACTGTATCATTTTGAAAGATGGCATCCTTTCTCTTTTAATTTTAAGGTATTTTCAAAATCACCACTAGAAAAGGAAATACAATATTTATTTGGGCCTGTGGGCTGTGTGCTAAGTCTTTTACAGATATTATCTCCGTTAATCTTTGTAAGTCTCATAATATACTTTTTAGTCGCATTTCACAGCTGGAACAGCTGACCTAGAGATAGGTTAGGGAATGTGTCCAAAGATACGAAGCTGGCAAGAAGAACAATTCCCACTTGCCCCACTGTGTCAAACCCTACGCAACATTCTCTCCACCTCTGTGAACACCACTGTGGGAAAAAGAACGTATTCCCTTGGTTCTACATAGCTTGCTTTTATCTACTACCTTCTCCCTGGCATGTGCTTACAGAAAATGGAAGGACAGGAGCCGGGGAGGGAGAAGGACCTTGCATTTGGGGTTGACAATCTGGGGTCCGGACCTCATGGTCCTGCTGCCTTTACGGTGGAGACTCATCAAAGCCTCTTCACGTCTCCACACTCAGTGCTGTTCCCCTGCAAAAATAAGAGCATCTGAGAAGACGATTTCAGAAGTGATTTCTCAGGTGAAAATCCTAAGATTCTAAATTCAAAATGAACCTCCCCCTAAGAGTCATGAGAGAAGAAGGATGTTTTAGAGATCTCAAAACAAGGAGTGGCAGAGGAACCGCTCAGCCTTTGTAAGGAACTCTTTTGTGGACAAGTTTGAGTCTAAACTGGTCGCCCCTAATCACTTAGGAAAGACATCCTTCCTTAATAGCTAATATTAACACAGCTCTTCATATTTCCCGTAGCACTTTCATAGACAATGCAACAGTATGGGTCCATTGAAATAAGTCAAACATGCATACTTTTTGGTTTTTTTTTTTTTTTTTTTTTTTTAGTTCCATAGGCTTTGAAGGAACAGGTGGTGTTTGGTTACATGAGGAAGTTCTTCCGTGGTGATTTGTGAGATTCTGGTGCATCCATCACCTGAGCAATGTCGACTGCACTCAGCTTGTGCCCTTTTATCCCTCATCCCCTTCCCACCCTTTCCCCCAGAGTCCCCAGAATCCACTGTGTCATTCTTCTGCCTTTGCATCCTCATAGCTTAGCTCCCACTTACGAGTGAGAACACACGACGTTTGGTTTTCCATTCCTGAGTGCCTTTACTTAGTGTCTAAACCCATTCAGGTTGCTGTGAATGCTATGAATCCATTCCTTTTCATGGCTGAGCAGTATTCCATTTTACATACATATACCATGGTTTCTTGACCCTCTTGTTGAATGATGGGCATTTGAGCTGGTTCCACATGATTATGTTAGTCCTGGGGTTGCACCTTTGAGAGACACTGATGGAGAGCAGATGCATCTCAAAGTGGGGCTTAGCCCACAAGGGTTCTTGGCTTGACCCAGGAAAGAATTCAAGGGCAAAGCAGACGTAGAAGAAACCAGCTTCATTGAAGTGACAGTGTTATAGTTCCATGACTGCTCCCACAGAACAGGGCACTCTGTAGGTGGAGAGCAGCTGCTCAGGGCAGCTTTGGAGTCATATTTATACCCATTTATTTTTATTTATTTATTTATTTTCTTGTTTGAGGCAGCGTCTCACTCTGTCACCCGGGCTGCAGTGCAATGGCACCATCTCAGCTCACTTCAACCTCTGCCTCCTGGGTTCAAGCAATTCTCCTGCCTTAGCCTCCTGAGTAGCTGAGACTACAGGCGCCTGCCACCACACCCATCTAATATTTTTGTATTTTCAATAGAGACAGGGTTTCACCATGTTGGTCAGGCTGGTCTGAAACTCTTGACCTCAAATGATCGGCCCGTCTCAGCTTCCCAAAGTGTATACCCATTTTTAATTGCATGAAGCCTAATGGGCAGATCATGCAGAAATTTCTAGGAAAGTGGTAGTTGTCACTGAGTTATTGGGTCATTGCAAAGGGGTGGTAACTCCTGAGTGTTGCCATGGCAATGGTAAATGGACATGGCATACTGGTGGGCATGTCTGACTGAAAGCAGCTCCTGTCCTCAGTCTGGTCTGGTGTCCAATCCCCACCTCTGGAGTCAATTTCCCCTCCTACTTCAACACCATAGGGTTGGTGTGCATGGAGATTTGTGGTTGGTATGGTTAGGGTCCCAGTTCCAGCCCAGTAACACCTAAGCTGTGTTCTCCTGAGCAAGTTACAGAACATTTCTGAGTTCCAGATACGCTACTTGGTGTATAGGGCTGCAATGGGTTAAATTATGCCCTCCTCAAAGGTTACATTAAGGTCCTAAACCCTGGTATCTGTGCATGAGACTTTATTTATTTGTTAATAGGTGGCTTCTAAATTCTACATGACTATAATCTCTCTCTATAAGGAAAGAGCGATTTAAAGGCACAGAGGATAGACATTCATATAGTGACAAAAGCAGAGATTGCAGTGATGTGTCCACAAGGCGAGAAATTTCAAGGACTGCCAAGGAAGGCTTCTGCCCAGGGTCTCCCAGGAAGCACCTTGATTTTCGAAGTTCTAGTCTCTCTGGGCAATCTCACACAAGTGCTTATACCCAAATCATGAGGCTGAACTAACAAGGAAATAAGAGATTTCATCAACGCTCTGGCACATTCTCGATGAGGGGGCGGGGGTGCGGGTCAAAGCAGTGCTTCTCCTAGGTTGTTGATGCCTACTTTGCTTTCTAGAACTTGGCTGCTCATGAGACGTGATGTCTTCGCTGTTGCTGAAATTTCCAGACTGCCAGGAGACCACTTGCTGTGTTAGTCAGTGCCAGCATGTGTGAAAGGAACATATTTTGGGCCCCCCAAAACCGCTAAGGAAAACTCAATCTGGAAACTGCTTAGGGCAAACCTGCCTCCCATGCTATTCAAAGTCACCCCTCTGCTCACCGAGACAGATGCATGTCTGATGATTGCCTCTTTCGGAGAGGGTAATCAGAGACTCAAGGAATGTAACCCTTGTGAGTCACACACCTGTGGCCTGAAAGCGCCCTCCCACTTCCGGGCTGCCTGCCTTTGCTTCAAGTTGCCCTGCCTTTCCAGACCAAACCAATGTCCTTCTTACATATATCGATGGATGTCTTATGTCTTCCCAAATGCACAAAACCAAGCGGGCCCTGGCCACCTCGTGCACTTCTCTTTAGGACCTCCTGAGGCCGTGTCATGGGCACGTCCTCAACTTTGGCAAAATAAACTTTCTAAATTAGCTGAGACCTGTCTCAGATTTTCTGGGTTCACACACGTTTTGCTGAATTGCCGCAGCACTCTTGATCCCGTTTCTATTGTTGACAACCATAAAGCCTTTTGGTGGGTTAGCTGCCTCGTCCTCACACAGGGCCTTATATTTAGAGCAAAGCCATGGAGCAGATGGCACAAGTGTCTGTACGTGCTTGTTTTCTGGCATGGAAAGACATGTTTAGAAAGTGGAAATTAAGCTTGGTGCAGTGGCTGATGCCTGTAATTCCAGCACTTTGGGAGGCTGAGACAGGAGGTTCGCTTGGGGACAGGAGTTTGAGATCAGCCTGGGCAGCATAGCAAGACCCATTCTCCACAAAAGAATAAAAAGAGCTGGGTGGCGTGGTATGTGTCGGCAGTAACATCTATTCAGGAGGCTGAACTAGGAGGACTGCTGTGGAGTCCAGGAGTTCAAGGGTGCGGCGAGCTAGGATTGCGTCAGCGCGCTCAGCTGCCAACACGAATGACACGGTAACTATCTACCCACGAAGGTCATGAGCTCCCGACTTCTTCGGAGGCAGCAAATGGTCATCGGTGTTCGTCACCACAGGAAGGCAACAGGACCTAAGACAGAAATTCAGGAAAAACTTGCCCAAATGGACAAGACCACAGAGGATGTCCTGGTTGGTTTGTTTTGCTTTGTTTTTTGTGTTTTGTTTGTTTGTTTGAGAAATGGAGTGTTGCTCCGTCACCAAGGCTGGAGTACAGTGGCACGATCTCGGCTCACTACACCATCCACCTCCCAAGTTCATGTGAATCTGTCTCAGCCTCCCAAGTAGCTGGGATTATGGGCATGTGTTACCACGCCTGGCTAATTTTTGTATTTTTAGCAGAGATAGGGTTTCATGATGTTGGCCAGGCTGGTCTCGAACTCCTGGCCTCAAGTGATCAACGCACCTTAGCCTCCCAAAGTGCTGGGATTACAGGAGTGAGCCCCCGCACCCAGCCAGGATGTCCTGTTTGTATTCATGTTCAGAACTCATTTGAGTGGTGGGAAGACAACTGGCTTTGGCATGATTACAAATTTTGGATTATGCAAAGAAAAATGAACCCAAACGTGGACTTGCAAGACACAGCCCATATGAGAAGAAAAAGACCTCAAGGAAACAGCAAAGTGCAACGAAAGAACAGAACAAAGAAAGTCAGGAGACTGCAAAGGGTATCGGTGGTGCTGGGGGATTAGGTGACGAACAGAAGTAGCAATGCTGCAGTGACGTCATCAGCAGCCATCGTGTGGATTTTTCCAGGAGAAGTAATAAATTACAAACTTTCAGGATATAAAATAATTTTCAATCAACATTTATCCACAGGAATAAAAAAAGAAAACTTAGCAGCAAGTGGAATAAGCAGTGGGCCTTTCATCATCCTGAGTGGTAGAGGAATTTATTGGCTCTTAAATGCACTCCCTGCAAACTTGAAAGCACCAAAGTGTTTGAGCTTTGGTCACCTGATTGTAGCTATCTCTTCTCCTTCCTTGTCACACAGACAGAATGGGAACACCCCGCAGCAAGGAGTCAGCCATATCCGGTCGTGATTCAGTTCCCCGAGCTGGTGGATCACGGGCACGATGCTTTCCTGGTGTTTCTTCAGAGCGCCGGCCACCTTTTCAATCACAAAATCGTGGAGGGGCTCTGTGTCAGGCGTCAGGGGTGTGGACTCCGTGGGGTCCCTGGAGAGATCGAAGAGCAGAGGGGGGTTGTGATAGGTAACCAGTTCTCCGAAACATCCGCATAATAAGGTGACATAGCAGGCACCGGAAGATGGTGGCTGGAATATCGGGGTCACGTAGTGAACCTTCCAAACTGCGCCACCTGGAAGAGAAAAGAGAGATTTGTTAAATGATGCACATTTCAGCCAAATCAAAGGACGAAGTTCTGGTGCTATACAGCAGGGGACCCCAATCCCCAGGCCACGGACTGTTAAGAACCGGGTCACACAGCAGGAGGTGAATGGTGGGATGAGAGGGTGAAGCTTCATCTGTATTGACAGCCACTCCCTATGGCTTGCATCACTGGCTGAGCTCCGCCTTCTGTCACATCAGTGACTGCATTCGATTCTCCTAAGAGCACGGACTCCATTGTAAACCGCACGTGCGTGGGAGGGATTTGTCTGCACGCTCCTTATGAGAATCTAATGCCTGAGGATCTGTCACTGTCTCCTATCACCCCACATGGGACCGCTTAGTTGCAGGAAGGCAGGCTGAGGGCTCCCACGGATTCTGCATGATGACGAGTTGCAGCATTATTTCGTTATATAATACAGCGAAATAATAATAGAACTAAAGTGCACAATGCATGTCATGCACTTGAATCATTCTGATGCCATCCCCCATCCCAGTCTGCAGAAAAATTGTCTTGCACAAAACTGGTCCCTGGTGCCAAAATGTTAGTGACCCCTGTTCTAACACTGCAGAATGACTACAGTTAACAATAGTAAGTTACCTAGTTACAAGTACCTAGAAGGAGGCTAGTCAACGTTCCCAAAGCAAAGAGATTATGCATGTTTGAGATGATTGATGTGCCAATGATTCGAATCTGATGGCTCTGCATTGCGTATCTCAGAACATCACTACATACCCTAATTTTCATGTGCAATATGTGCATATTATTATGTATGTGTCCATTTTTAAAAATTACAAATTACAAAAAAATACTTCTAAGTTCTGGGTCATAAACTTATGTTCTTCTAGCCCTTTTAATCTTAAATATTATCTTTAGTCTGCCTAGAATTCATTTTTATAAATGAAAACTTAACCATGACCACTTACGCCTATAAAATAACCTGCCCTTAGAAGATATTCAACAAGCGTTTTTTTAACTCCAAAAAAAAAAAAAAAAAGAAGAAGAAAAGAAAAGAGGGAGAGTGCCCACAGTGCAGACTGCTCCTGTATTCCTCTGTCTTCTCAATGCTGTTTTTTGTGTTTCCTTCTGCCCACAGGTCAATGCTAAATATTATGCAATCCTTAGAACAAAATGAGAACATTAGAATCCCCTGGGAAAATGATCCACACATTTTCCAGCAGATATCAGTCCTGTCTCTAAAAATGTACGTAAATATATTCTGGTTTTGTTTTTGTTTAAGACAGTCTTGCTCTGTCTTCCAGGCTGGAGAGTAATAGTGTGATTTCAGCTCACTGCAACCTTTGCCTCCCGAGTTCAAGCAATTCCCCTGCCTCCGCCTGCCGAGTAGCTAGAACTACAGGAGTGCATCAGCACATCCAGCTAGTTTTTGTACTTTTAGTAGAGACGGGGTTTCACCATGTTGGCCAGGCTGGTCTCGAACTCCTGACTTCAAGTGATCTGCCCGCCTCAGCCTCCCAAAGTGCTGGGATTACAGGCGTGAGCCACCATAACCGGCTAAAAATGTCTGTTTCTTAAAAGTGTCTCCCTGACTTTTTGGGTAAATTTTATGTCCACGGAATTATTTTATACATATGTTTTCTTTACTAAGGTGCAATTGAAAAGTAAAAATTGTATAGATTTTCCATGCACAACGTGACGTTTTCATGTATGTGCATCTGCTGAGATAATTAAATGAAACCAATTAGTATCTCCGTTACCCCCGCCGGCCTTTCTGCAAAAGAGCAATTCTGAGAAACTTTTCCAAAAACATGTGTTCAGTGACAGCCCTGGAATGAAGTGACTGGTCTAGGGAGGAGAGGAAGAGCGCGCTCGGGATACCCCTGCGTGACCCTGCTCCCGGCAGGGAACAGGAAGGCACGGGTTGAGCACTCACTGTCGTCCTTGGGGATCCACCTCACAGCATGCAGGTAGGAGCCGCAGTAGTGAAACAGAAACTCATGTTCCGAGTGCGTGATGTTGCCCTGCAGCAAGGGCATGAGGTCTCTGCCGTCAATGACCCTGCAGAGACACAGACAGTGCAGATAAGGAGAAGCGGGAGAAGGAACGCTGGCTCCCAGGCTGCCTGAAGGGTACTGGGTACAGACGGCGATGCCTCAGGCCCAGAGGACAGCGTGCTGAGTCTTCAGGAAAACCCATGCGTGCTCTCCGGGAGATGACACGCAAGTGGGCAAGACAAGAAAGCTAAGCTTTGACCGTGAAATGATGAGACCCGGGAGTGCGACAATGAATGCTTCAAAGGCGAAAAGATCACATCTCCTTGGTTGTGACTCAGAAGCTCTCCACAGCTCAGCAGTTGGTGGCAATTTCATAAATCTGAACTTCGTTTGCAATTGTATTGCTACGCTTTGAAAAAGGAATCACTAAAAACTCATATACGTCTCATTTTATATAAGAAATGGAGTAAACAAACGCAGAAACAGAAAACCAAACACGATGTTCTCACAAGTGGGAGCATTAGACCCTGGGGGCCCCACAAAGGGGAAGGGAGGGAGGAAGGAAGCGTTGAAAAACTACCTGCTGGGTACCATGTTCACTATCTTGATAACGAGTTTAATAGAAAGCTCAGCATCACACAAACATCCACGGAACAAACCTGCACATGGGCCCCTGAATCTAAACTAAAATGAATTTGAAAATTTTGCATTAGAAAACATATCTTGTGCCTTATATTAGAAAGCAATAATAATAAAACCTACTTTGTAAAGAAACACATAATAATACATCCCAGATATAAGGATTTTTTTTTTTTTTTTTCGAGACGGGGTTTTGCTCTTGTCACCCAGGCTGGAGTGCAGTGACACAGTCTTGGTTCACTGCAACCTCTGCCTCCCAGGTTCGAGCGACTCTCCTGCCTCAGCCTCCTGTGTAGCTGCGATTACAGGCAGGTGCTGCCATGCCTGGCTAATTTTGTATTTTCAGCAGAGACGGGTTTTCACCACGTTGATCAGGTCGGTCTCGAACTCCTGATCTCAGGTGATCTGTCTACCTCGGCTTCCCAAAGTGTTGTGAATACAGGTATGAGCCACTGTCCCTAGCCTAAAAAGGATTTTTAAAGAAATAAAACTATATTTACTATCAGATACAATGATTTCCTATATTAATTATCGTCAAATAACCTACCAGAAATAATAAGATTAGCAAGATCACACAATACAACACCAACTTTTAAAGATGCCTATATATTTGCAACGAATGGCTGGGAGTGACATTATTTAAAAAGTGTCATGTACCATAACATAAGGAAGCATGAAGTATTTAGGGACAGCACTTTTTTTTTTTTTTTTTTTTTTTTTTTGAGATGGAGTCTCACTCTGACGGCCAGGCTGGAGAGCAGTGGCACGATCTCGGCTCACTGCAACCTCTGCCTCCTGGGTTCTTGCAATTCTTCTGCCTCAGCCTCCAGAGCAGCTGGGACTACAGGCACATGACACCACACCCGGCTAATTTTTTGTATATTAGTAGAGTCAGGGTTTCACTGTGTTGACCAGGCTGGTCTCGAACTCCTGAGCTCAGGCAATCCACCCGCCTTGGCCTCCCAAAGTGCTGGGATTACAGGTGTGAACCACCACACCTGGCCAGCGATAGCATTTTTATGTGAAAATTTTGTATGAGACAAGCCACAAAGCACCTAATAAGAGGAATAAATGAAGAAATGAACAATATATTTACTAATTGGAAGATTCAAATTTTTAAGACATATATTTTCTGCAAATTGATCTATAGATTTAATGCAATCTCAGTCACAACTCCAGAAAGGTCTATGTTGAAATGAAGAAACTTATTCTAAAATACACATGGGAAAATAAAGATCCTAGAATGGTTTAAAATTTTTTTAAGAAGAAAATAGTTTGAAGACTCACTTCGTAATTCCCAAATTTACTATAAAGCTAGAGTAATTGAGACAGTGTAGTGTTGATACAAGGGTTTCAATGAATCTGCAATAGGAGAGTCCAGGAATTGAACAATAAGTATATTGTTTTTTGACAAATGCTCAAAATAATTCAGTCTTTCAATAAATGACAGTAGAAAACTTGGATATCCCAATGCAAGGAAAATAAATCTCAACCTATACCTGAAACCACATGAAAAAATTAACTCAGTGTGGACCATAAACGTAATGGAAACCCAAAACTAGAAAACTTCTAAATAAAGACACTGGAGAAAATCACTGTGATCTTTTGATAAGAAAATATTTTTTAAGTTTTATCACAAAAATCACAAGTTATAAAACAAAAAAAGGATAAATTAGCTATTATCAAAATGTAAAACTTCTGCTTTTCAATGTCAATGTCAAGAAAATAAACATGTGACTTCAGTCCATTGGTGGGGAAAAAGAAGAGAAGAAAAGACATCAAAATATTAAATCCTAATAAAAAAGAGTTTAAAGCATTAGGACAAATACTTGACGCATGTCGGGCTTAGTATCTGGATGACGTGTTGATGGGGGCAGCAAACCACACATGTATACCTATGTAACAAACCTGCAAGTTCAGCACATGTATCCCAGGACTTAAAGTAAAAATTTTTTAAAAAGTTTAAAAGAAAAGAAAAAGACAAGCCAAGGAAGAAAAAAATAATCATCCCTCTGTATCCAGAGGTTCTTTTTTTTTTTTTTTTTTTTTTTTTTGAGGGAGAGTCTCACTCCGTTGCCCAGGCTGCAGTGCAATCTCTGCCTCCTGAGTTCAAGCCATTCTCATGCTTTGGCCTCCCAAGTAGCTGGAATTACATATGCCTGCCACCACATCCGGCTAATTTTTGTATTTTCAGTAGAGATAGGGTTTCGCCATGTTGGCCAGGCTGGTCTGGAACTCCTGAGCTCAAGTCATCCGTCCACCTTGGCCTCCCAAAGCGCTGGGATTACACGCGTGAGCCACTGCGCCAGGTTCAAAGGTTCTGCATCTGTGAATTCAGTCAACTGCAGATCAAAAATAGTTAATAGGATTTTCTCCTAGTTTTTCACCTAGAAGTTGTATAGCTTCAGGATTACGTTTAGGCTTACGGTCCAAATCGAGTTAATTTTCTAATGTGGTATCAGGTATAGGCTGAGATTTATTTTTCTCGCATTAGATGTCCAGTTGTTCCAGTGTCATGTATTGAAAGACAGTTCTATCTCTACTGAATTATTCTGGGCATTTGTTGAAAAGCAATATTTACATATCGATCAATTTCTGGACTCCCCTATCCCACTGATCTGTTGAAACCCTTATATCAACATGACACCATCTTGATTACTCTAGCTTTATAGTACATTTTGGAATTATGTAGTGAGTCTTCAAACTATTTTCTTCTTCAAAAAATTTTAGGATATTTTAGGTTCTTTATTCTAGAAAATCCTATGAAATATTTTTGATCGGCAGTTGATTGAATTTGCAGATGCAGAAACTTAGGATGCAGAGGTATGACTATTTTCTTCTACTACATTGGCTTTTACAGTATTAGCATCCTTCATTTCTGTACAGGTGAGAGCCGCTTTTGAGTTCTTCCTGTTGATTTCATTGTGTCAGAGACTGAAGGAGACAGGAGACAGGTGTCCACAGGCCCTCACTCTGCTGGTGTCATAGACAGTGAGCCTGATACTGTAAATATGCTGTCTGATCTTTTCTACATAGTAGAGCTAGTCTCTATTAGTAAGGACATATTTAACGGGTCAGCGCACATGCCAGCAACGTCATAAATTCAAATAAAGAGGCTTGGGAGAACCGAGTGTAGAAAGAACCAAAAAATTAACCTGATGCGTAGTACCCGGTACGCCAACCTGTGTGTGAAGCTGAGGTTAGATCTCCCACCACAATGCCTTAGTCATTTTCATGATTTTCTTCCACTTCCCATTTAACTACAAAGATGGTGCATCCTCTGAGGACTTAGCCTGTGGCTAGTGGAGTCATGGTTGCAGCAGGCAGGAATGGACAGCTGTACTATACATCTCATCGAGGACATCAAACTCATAACCCTCATTTGGTTAGGGAACCAAATGAGCGTGTAATCTCACAGAGCAGAATGCACTGGAGTGGTGAGTGAACCCTGATCGACTCATTCTTCTTTTCAGGGTCAGCACAATGGCCGGAGCTCGGCAGCAGTTGCCCTCCACATTCACACAATGTAACAATATTGTGCCTGGACATCTCCCTTCTCCCTAACAGGCTGTTGGGCCATGTGGAGAGACGGACTTCTTCAAACAACTATTTCTAAATGGTAGAACAGGGAAGCCGGGGCTTCTCCATAGTTTTTTTTGTTTTTTTTTTTTTTTTTTTGATAGGTTCTTTTTGCAATAACCTCACAGTGATTTTTAAAATAGTTTGGGGAGGCTAGGCATGATGGCTCAAGCTTGTAAATCTCAATACTTTGAGAGGCCAAGGAGGGAGGATCACTTGAGGTCAGGAGTTCAAGACAAGCCTGGTCAACCTGGTGAAAACCCATCTCTACAAGAAATACAAAAATTATCCAGGCTTGGTGATGGGTGCCTGTAGTCCCAGCTACTTGAGAGGCTGAGGCATGAGAATGACTTGAACCCGGGAGGCAGAGGTTGCAGTGAGCTGAGATTGTGCCACTGCACTCCAGCCTGGGCAACAGACTGAGACTCCGTCTCAAAAATTAAATAAATAAAAATAAAAAAATAAAACATTTCTTTCTTGTGTTAGCATCATCAATGCCTAACTTCTTTTCAGGCAGAAAATAAAAGCATCTTTATCGAATGTTGAGTCCTGAAAATTATAAAATAAATTCCAGCTTTAGTGTGTTGATACAAATATCTACTAGCTTCAAACATTTTTTTTTAAATATTAGAAAGGCAAACTTGGGGAAGGGGGTGCCTTAATTAGTTCTCGATAGTTTGTTTTTCAGTAAGTAACCATGACTTCTAAGATATTTTTCTTTCTGTATTAGTACCATCAGTATCTAGCTTTTGCTTTTGGAGATGGAGGGGAGAAAATATAAAAATTTATCACAAAAATTTTTGAAAAATATAAAACATAGTCTTAGTTTCTTTGTCTTATTTTTTAA